ACTGAAACACGGACGGCAGGCCGTGCCGCCAGACGCGGGCAGGAACCATCGCCACGGTGTGGACTGGCAGCTGGTGAAGGGCGGTCATTCAGATTGGAAGCCTGGCTTTGCTTAGGGTCTGCGTGCACGCAGGTGGGGTGCCTGCACAGGTGTGGGGGAGGGTGCAGGTACGTGTGCACGTGGGGAGGCGCACATGCGTGTGTCCTGACTGGAAAGCTTGGGAGATACAGCTCGGCCCTCCAGGGTTCGGCAGTGGGTGAGGAGCACGGCGGCCGGGGACCCCCTCACAGTGTGACAGACTGCGTCCCCTTTGTGTAGAAACAAATTGGTTTTCTTCTTTTCAGATCATCGAGAGGCTCGTCCACATCCTGCTAAGAGAAAGCAAACTTACTCTAGAACATGACGAGTATAGAACATGACGGCTGTAACGCATAATGGCAAACTCATTAACTTTTTGTTTGTTAAACTAGGTGCAACCTACTTTTGAAGCTGGCTTTGCTAAATTAACAAAGTATGAATCTAGCAAGGTGTAAGTATTCTGAAACTGCGATGATGACTTCCAGAGTTTATCCCCGCAGCGCCGGGCTCTGCAGCTTCCCGCTCGGCAGAGGGGCTGTAGTGATGCTTTATTGAACGCGTTTTAACTTGGGTAACATTAACACTTTAATATTAACATGAATGATGAAACTTCTTAATGGAAAATAAGATTGAAAACAGAGTTAAAGATATAGCTCAAGGGTAGAGCATTTGCCTAGCATGCCTGAGGCCCTAGATTCCATCCCAGCACAGATAGATAGATAGATAGATAGATAGATAGATAGATAGATAGATAGATAGATAGATAGACAAAAAGCATGAATACATACATACATGATAGATGATAAATACATACTTGAGAGATACATACATATGATATACACATGATAAATGATAGATATATATATACATGATAGATGATACATGCATACATGATAGATAGATAGATAGATAGATAGATAGATAGATAGGTAGATAGATAGATAGATAGGTAGATAGATAGATAGGTAGATAGATAGATAGATAGATAGATAGATAGATAGATAGATAGATAGATAGGTAGGTAGATAGATAGATAGGTAGATAGATAGATAGATAGGTAGATAGATAGGTAGATAGATGATAGGTGGGTGGGTAGCGTTAAGGGTTGGGTGTTTTCAGAGGCTGAGTCAGCAGGGAGGAGCTGTGGCAAGCTTGCTGCCCTGGGGCCAGGATGTCCAGGTCCGTGGGAGGCTTTCAGGTTGAGTCGTGGGGCAGGTGACTGAGCTCCTCTTTCCGTGTCTGACGGCTTAGTGCTCACTGATCTCCTGGGCAATGGCATGCCCTTGTCTCTCCGGTTAAACTCACTGGAAATTGAGTGCACAATCTTCGGACAGGTGTCCCTGAGGTCAAAGTCAGCGTGCACAGACACTGGATGCTCTGTGTGGTTGGCCTCACTTGCAGGGCAATGCAAGAGCACTCCCTTTTCTTCATGGAGGACAATCCAAATGTTGTCACCACCTAGGAGTGGCACGTGAGGATTCTGCATGGGCCTCCCCGGAATGGAGCGCTGACTTCTTGCTGGACCTTTCTCTCCCAACACTACCTCCATGGTGACCCGAGGTAACATTGCCGCCGGACCCCCGTGTCTACCGGCATGGAACAGCGCCTCGAGGCAGCCTGGCTCCTGGGCCTCACTGTGGCCCCTACCCCCAGTCCCACCTGAGCTGTTTCTTGAACCACTTTTGGGTCCAAGAGTTCCCAGAGGCCCTGGCTTTCTGCTGGACCTGCGTGGACTCTGGCTGGAGGATCCCCTGGCTCTGGCTGCCTTGATTTTCTTAAAAGCCGATTTTTGCAGATAATTGCTTCTGAGGAACCCTGCACCTGCCTGGGAGAAGATGCCCGCCAGCAGGCTTTGTGAGGAACCCAGAAAGTCCTGAGCAGAAGTCCTGGAAAACCTCCTTGCTTCGTGTGTGTTTGGCTTTATTGTGGGAAGTCTCACTGTTTGTAGATTCGGAGAAAGGACTGGATCCCTTTGCTAAGGAATCGCTCTTGAAGCCAAGACATCAGTAGGATGGAGAGGGGACAGTTCATAGTATCTGTTTCTGCTCATCTCAGGAAGGAGGCGCTAGCTAGACCGTCTTTTCGAGGAAGAGCTAATGACTTTGGAAGGGAGAGCTCCTGCCTCTAGTGTTATCATCCAGTGTCACAGTCACGCACCTTCTTATGAAGTTCTGGGCTTCCTCAGTCCAGGCCCTGGGCTGTGCGTCGCTCATGTCTGTGTTCCCACAGTGTCAGAACAAACGCTCCTGCTTCTGCCTGTGCGGACTTGGACAGCGCCTTATCCTGGACCCAACGTCTCCCATCCTCTGTGAGCATCCAAGGCATGAGCTTGCAAGCTGGGAAAAACCGCAGATCCTACATAGCTCTCGACGGTTCTTCTACAAATGGCATGAAAGGGCGTTTCATAAGCCATGTGCCTGCGGCTCACAGCCTGACCTCACAGCTCAGCCTCCTCCCAACTGCAGAGGAGGCTGAGATTGGAAAGACCAAGGTTCCAAGCCACCGGAGCAGAGAAGTCCATGCGATCCCACCTCACCGGAAGAAGCTGACTATGACTGTCATTCCAGCTTTGATGGGAAGCATGAAAAAAGTGAGCTGTGGCCCAGACACATATCCATCCAGGAAGCAAGACCTGATCTCAAAAGTAACTGGAATTGTGATTTCACAGCGGAGTGCTTGCCCGCAAACGCAAGGCCCTGTTCAAACCCAATGCCACCAAAAGATAAAAAAGAAAACCAGAGGAAACTTAGTGAAGAAAGCACTGAAGTTCACTGATGACCAGATGTTTTATTCTTTTTTTTTTTTTTTGGTCGGCCGTGGGGCTTGAACTCTGGGCCTGGGTGCTGTCCCTCAGCTCTTCAGCTCAAGGCGAGCGCTCTACCGACCAGATGTTTTAGTATAGTTAACATTCTGTATGTTAGTTTAATCCCACTGTATGAATTACTAGAATTTTCCAGATATCTGTAACTTCTTACACCACCATATAAATCCATCCCCAGTGAAAAAAATGCTTGGGTTCTTATATGGCTGCCTTTTATCTGCTGTTAAAACAATATGTGACTTGTTAGCTGAACATCTACCAGCAGGTTCCTTCAAGTTAAGAAAAATACAAATACGTCCCATCTTTCTATCTGCATGTGAAACCCGTTTCCAATGGGGCTGCCAGCTCAGCAGTTTTGGAGGGATGACTTTTTATTCCCAATGAAGACCTTTTACACGTCTGCAGGAGACAATTTTAGCTCAGTATGTTTCCTAAGAGTCAGTCACGAAGTATCTTAAATCGTCTCAACACCCCGGAGCCGGCCCTCAAAGGATCTGCAGCCTTTCCAAAGGGTGATTGAAAAAGCTGGTGTGTCAGGTTCAGAAAAAGAGCCACGCCCGATCCCCACGCCCGCCAGGATGTGGCCTCCACGCTGCTGTAGGGAAGCGTAGCCTGGACAGGCTGGTGCATCTAGGAAGAGGGTCAACGCGCCGCACCTGGGCGAGGGCTTGTGGGAGGAGGGTTGACGGAGACGCCTGCCCTGGAGGGCAGCAGGTGCCGGCTGACTCGTGTTTGTGAGTCTTACTCACCCTGCCATGGACGCTGGTGTAACCCAGGGGTTCAGAAGTGCTCAGCCCGGTCGTTCCCCCATCGCCCTGCAGCTGGTAAGAAGCAAGACATGAAAAATCCTTGAGCACTCCCAGAATTTTGGAAAATCTGGAGGTGGGCCAGCTGTCCAGGGCGGGCCCGGGGCGGGCGGGCGGGGCCCAGGGCCTGGCTGCTCAGCAGTGGAGGAGAGCAGGCCTGGCCGCCCGTCTCACCCGGCTGATGGAGGACGGGCCTAGTCAGGCTTCCGCGAGGAGAGGACGAATCAAGTGGGCTTCCAACAGGTGGCATCTGTCAGAGGAATGTTCGAATTCCTCGTTGTAGAAGCCATTTCTCACCCCCAGCCAGATGCCAGACGGGGTTGGGGTACAAACCCGAATGAGGCACTTCACAGATTGTCCATCCTGCCACACTGGCTGGCTCACAGCAGAATCCACCCTTGCCGCTCATTTTGTAAATAAAGTTTTATCAGGTGCATGTGTGCCGCTCATTTTGTAAATAGTTTTATCAGGTGTGTTTGTGCCCCGTGCCGCTCGCATCGCTGGTGGCTTTTAGACACACATGACGGAGCCAAGGGCCCACGGAGCTGGAAACGGTGAATATTTTCTGTCTGGAGCTTTCTGTGGAAGTGGGACCCCAGGCCTGAGGCTTGGGGGAGCCCTCTCTGCTGGCTGGGTGGCTGTGTGGAGGGGGTTGGCAGCACGTGCCCACTGCTGGCTTCACCTCTTACAGTGCCCGTCGTACGGGTGACCACTCCAGCAGAAAAGGCGGCACTGTGACCCACCGCCGTGGGACCTGACACGCGCTGTGTCTGTGAGCGGAAGGAAGGGTGTGAGGATGCACACTGACTTTAGAACAGGAAGGAAGTTTTAATAAGTAAACCGCATGGTGATCAGGAGAGCACCCTCTATGTGGTAAAGCTGAAGTAAGCGTGGCTGGGGGAGGATGTGGCTGGGGGAGGACCCCAGAAGGTGGAAGGTGCGTGGGAACAGAGGGGAGCCAGGCCTCCGGGAATTCTGGGCTCCTGCCCCCGCGCCTCCCTGCCGTGAGTGCTCCTGCACCGTGTTGGGGTTGCTCACACTGTGTGGCTCCCCAGCCCCCTTCCTCCTCCAGACCTGCGGCAGAGAAAGTTCTAGATTCACTCTAGGCCACCTGGGGTGCCTGCTGAGCAGCTCGGGCCGACAAAGGTGCTCTTTCTCTGAGAGGACTGCTGCTGATTGCTTTAACTCACGCCGCATGACCCACTTGCTCTCTTGCCACAGAGATCCTTGACTGTCACAGTGTGCGGAGAGGGGAAAACGGCCATTGTTTGAGGCCATGTTTCTCTTGCTTACAGGAGTTTTTCTTTAAATGTGGAGCCCACCCGACTTCCGATGAGGACACGTCAGTGGCTTTGAACCTGATCACCACCAACAGTCGGGGCATCAGCTGCATCACATGCACGGACATCAGGTAAGGCTGGGGAACAAGAGGCCCTCTGGCCGCGTGCCCCCCCAACCCCAACCTTCACGGTGGCCTCCTTCCGGCTCCCATGCTGCCCCCCCTGCAGGTATGTTTAATGTGGTAAAATGGTTTAGGAATGGAATAACAATGTATGGACGCTCTTTGTGACGGTGCTTAATGCCCATACATTGTATTGTAGAGACATCTCCCCCATTCATGCCTTTGCCTGCATTCCTACTGACAGTTCACGTACGTGTGTACCCCCAAAGCAGGGACAGGTAGATACAGACGGAATGTGGAGGTGGCATCCTGGAAGAACAGGGCGATGCCAGGGGTGGATTGGAACCCAGGGCAATGCTGGAGACGCCGCGCCTGCGGAGCCCCAGCGGGAACAGCTGAGGGCCACGCTCCTTACGCTCTTCAGCTGCACAGAGTGAAAACAATTAGCTTTAATTCATGTTCCAGGAGGTTGATTAGGAGGAGGCCCAGAATGCAATTGGTCCTGATTTTGGCTAGGAAATTGTAGTAAAATGCCAAAATGAATTACTGAATAGAGTCAAAGAATGATCCGTTTCATACCTGTAGGCAAAATCAGCCCTCATCATGATTGGTGTGGGCGGCCCTTAAAGTTCCTTTATGATTTCACGATTAGTGTGTATTAATACTTGTAGCACGGCATTTCTCTTCTTTAATAACTTTGCACGTCAATGTTGATTAAAAAAAAAAAAAGCCTAAAAGCCTTAACAACATCTGTTGACCAGACTGGTTTCCAGAAAGGAATGCGGACGGCAGGCTTTGCTTTGTGTGCTGTGCCGAGTCACTCTGGGAGAAGCAGCTTGCTACATCCACCTGCAGTTGTCAGAGGACAACTTCTAAATATTTTGCTGCAAGTCAGAGGGCAGCCCTCCAGCCAGCATTTACAGATGCTCCTTTAAGAGCCACAAACAGGCCATGCAGTCGGTCGAGAGGCTCAGGTCTGTGTGGGAGCACAGGCCTGTTCCCCGCTCTGAGCTCCACTTTCACATTGATCACCGGCCATGTGGTCTGGAGAAAATGGCCCATCTCCCTATCCACAAGGCAATGATTGCTAACAAATACGATGTTTGCTAGTATTACTTTGGGGTGATGTAATAAACAGAAACTGCTCTATTTTGTTAAACTTAAGGTCATTTGTATAGAATCAACCATTTGATGGAATTAAGTCCCTTCTTGTTCGAACAAGGGCAATGGCCTTCATGTGGGAAAGGAGGCTAGGACTCTCTGTCTTACTTTGAGGGCATTGTATGTAAGGATGCCACACTTATGCAAGAGGATACTTCAGTATGATGGGTGGCAGGCTGATAAACATTTAGGGTTTTTTTTCCCTTAGTTTTTATTTTTCTATTTTTTATTGTGAGAATACCGTACAGAGGAGTTACAATTACATGGGCAAGATAACAAGTACATTTCTTATCAAACATTGTTGCCTTCTCTTTGTTTCCCTTCCCATCCTCCCTCCCCTCCCCCCCATCCTCCCCGCCCTCTCCCCACCAAAGTTGTAAAGTTCGTTTTCGACATAACGACTTGTACATCTCATTGTTGCAATGGGTCCACCTGTATCCCTAGTTGAACGATTTGTTTTATCCTGTCTTTGTATATGCTTAATACATACCTATGTTGTATGTATAGTTTCATGTCCATATTGGTATATTTAACAGGCCAAGTTTTCTCTGCTGTGAAATATTCCATGTAAACATTTTTAAGATACTTAGAGAATACTTAAGATACTTAAGAACCCTAAGATTCTACCCTATAGGAATGCCCTGTTTCTCTATTGCTGATCATTTAGGCTACTTCTACCTTTTAGAAATTGAGTAAGACTGAAATCCATACATTTTTATACTAATAGAGATGTGCAGAAATGTGTAGTGATGATCATATTATCTGACTATAAAGTTATTGTGTGCTCTGAATCTCAGCATTCGGTTATGTGAGTGGAAACAATGGTGATAGATGTTTTTCAGGTTCTCAACATGCATTGCCACATTTCTTTCCAGACTCATGGTAGACTATGATTGCCCATGTCTGTGATAGCTTCTCTCTGCATCTTATCTGGTACTATGTCTATAGTTTTAGTGGCAAATATTTGATAAAAGAAAATCCTATTACAAATATTTGGTTGTTATTAGTAAGTTCACACATTTCCCATTTGCTTATTTGCTATGTTGTTGCTGTTATTTTCATTGTGAGAGAATTTTGTGAAACTTTTTCCATTCAACACCTTTAGAAAGAATACACAAAGTAGATCTAGTCTTAACAATTACTTTCTTAGTCATAAATGATAGTATCAGTGTGTCATTTAGGGGTAAAGTTTATTGGTTTTGAATTTATATTTAAATATATTCCTTTAGTCTTCACTTGAAAATTCATATCTTTCTGAGGTCAAGTTTGAACAGATCTTTTAAAATTTATGTTTTATGGTTGTTTATTCATTTTGTATGTGGATATTAACTATCTGCTGCTGATCAGGCTTTTGATGCATTTTTCTATATAACAGATTTACCTCTGAGTATTTTTTGGATGTACATCTTATTGAGCCCATGCAGGATTTTTACTTATTTTGTGCTCTACTGGCATACGTTTTGCTTTGTAGCTTACTGTCTGGTTCATTTACTTTTTAATAAGGACTCCAGTAGCCCCTCCCCCTTAGAGGACAGAACTTCCTGAAGGTATATGAGGCCCTGCAGGTCGGTGGGGAATCCAGGTTGTCCCTTCTACAAAGCTACAGTGGTAGCTGGACTTGTTCTCTGTCTACTCAGTGCTACTGGCTGGTAGGCTGAGCTTTAGGATTGAAAATGTAATGAGGTAAACAAAAGTAAGGCACCTGATTGCGGCCTGGGAAGTGCAGGAAAGGAAGGAGAGCAGTTGGATTTTTAGTATTCCTGGGCCAGAACATCTGGAGCCTCATGACTTAGACCTGGGCAAAGCCAAAGGGTCCCTTGTATTCTCTCTCTGACACATGTATCTTGGGACTCACTCTGTACCTGTGTCCCTCAAAGAACAGCAGTATTTCTGCTCCTTGAGTATCATGCAAATGTATTCTTGGAAAAGAAGTTAATGTCAGCCTTAGAAACATACACCATGGGCTGGGAAGGTGGCTTAGTGGTAGAGTGCTTGCCTTGCATGCATGAGGCCTTGAGTTCGATTCCTCAGCACCACATAAGCAGAAAAAGCCGGAAGTGGCACTGTGGCTCCAGTGGTAGAGCACTAGCCTTGAGCTGTAGAGCTGAGGGACAGTGCCCAGGCCCAGAGTTCAGGCCCCATGACTGACAAAAAAAGGAAAAAAAGAAAATCTTTACCATCATAGCAGTTGGCAACAAAAGGAACACAGGAGAACAAAACAATACCATCCCTACGCTTCCCCGTGCTACTTCTAAGCCTGCCTGCCTGCCTGCCTGCCTGCCTGCCTGCCTGGTCAGCATTCTTTCCTCTCTTCTCATTCCTCCATTTGCAGAAGGGAGGGGAAACTAAAAATAACCATGGTTGCACAGTCTTAAGTATGTTTTAAAACCCAGTCTCCAACAGGGCATTCAACCCCAGCAATGTTCCTACTTTGTAACGTCTCTCAATAATTCCAGTGGAGACTTAAGGTTTTAATGTTATTGCTGTTTGTAGTAAATGGTTTTATAATTTTCTCCCCTTCAAATTCATCTTAAAAAATTTGATTCAGCTTATTGAAGCCACACTGCCACAGATTGCAGACTTAAAAGATTTACTTGGGTGTGGGGATTAGCCAAGATTTATCTTGCAGAGCATTGTACTTGCTCCTCTAACCCAGGGGACGGTGACTAGAGCATCCTGTGACAGTATGCTGTGTGCGCTCATCTCTGTCCAATCCACAGAGGGGCTTGGGCCCCAGGGGCCTCCGCTGTGTGCCCTTTGGAAGCCTGTGTTATGTCGTAAGCTTCTTTTGTCAGCTCACATTTTAATTGGGCTCAACTATAGTTGACATGTCTTTGGGATTCAAACGTCAGTTCTTTATCCAATTTTTGAGACCCTAACAGTAAAATCATAAGCAACCTTTTTTCCCTAGCACTTTGGGGTCAAATGGGACCTGATCATTTTCTGCAGTCATCCGGTTCTGGGGGGCGTGAGCAGAGACTCGCCTCAGATCAGGTAAAACTGACTGCTCTCTCTCTCATGGGTCTTTTCAGCAAGTGACTTTGCTGAAGGATTTTCGTATCTCGCAGTACCGGAGCCCTTGCTGTGTGCTCACACATCTCTCCCCTGATAGGTGCCATCGCTGGGCACCTTCCCACAGAACGTTGCTTCACACCAGGGACAAAAGACAGCTTCTTCCTGTAAGCGTGGGGCAATCGCGTTGCCGGGAATTCCACCCCACGTCACGGGAAACGGGAGTGCTTTCTAGAGGAGAATGGAATGTCATAACTTTGTAAGATGAGAGGGGAAGCCTCACCCTCTGTCTTCTTGTCTGAAGCAGGCTGTTCACACTGCCCACACCCTTGGGAGTGAGTCCTGTCGCTTCTTCTGTGAGCAACGCTCTCCTGAGAGTGTGGCACACCCGTCTACGCTGATAGAAAGCTGCTATAACGCCTTCTATATCCCATCCTTTGTCCAAACGTTCCATAAAAATATAGTTACCTTTCCTCCACTGAGGTTAAAATGCAGCTTTGAGGCCTGAGATTTTTCTGTTACATCACTTAGAATAATTTGGACTTCCCCCTCATAGATGAAGAACTTGAGATTAAAACATTAAAAAAAAAAAAGTGACATCTGCTCTTGCCACAAAGAAGGGGATCAACCGGCCAAGGCGGGTGTGGCCTCCCGCGTTTCCTCTGAGTGCACCTCCCTCCTCAACGGCCCGGTTCACTCCACCAGTGAAAGGCAAGGCCAGCTGTCAGGCTGGAGGCAGGTTTCCACGTGGACAGGAAATCAGCAGTACAGTTGAAGCGGGTCCCAGAGACAGGAAAGAGCCAGACTTCCCGATCCACCTCCTCCACCTTCCCCCA